ACCAATTAAATGCCGTAAATGTTAATGAGATGACAAATACCAAACACTACCCGCGTAATTGAAAATAAAGTATACTTCCAGTCAATGCCTTTTCACTAAATTATCTAGATCTGCTTCTTTTTTAAACAAATTAACCAATTATATGACAATCTCTCGTGTGGTGCAATGATGATCACGCTGTGTATCGAGTAATAAACAGCAGTTGGAATGCACTCAACTTCAAAATTTGACCTTCTTTAATAGCAACAGATATTAACACCTAATTTAATTATTTTTTCTTATATAAAAAAAAAAATCAATTACATGCCGTGACTGTACATGTGATTTCTATATATACTTAGTTTTTATGGTTTTTGTTGAATTCTTTCATTTGATTGAAAAGAATTAGAAATTATCATTTTTATAGTTTTTTCTTAATTTTTTACCTTTATAGTAATAATTATTTAATTAAAATGATTCATATATGTTATTAATAATCAAAATAATGATAATAGTTAACTTTTTTAATATTAATTAATATAAAAAAGATATGGATAATCGTTATAATTTTGGTGCTCTTAGAAGCAAAACCCATCGAAATTTTGCGAAGTATACTTCCAGTCAATGCATTTTCATTAATCAAACTCGGCTGCACCGTAATTGTCACAACTAGGAAATACAGTATAATCGGTAAAAAATATTGTTGATTATATAAATATTTTTGTCGATTATATCTTAATCAACAAACATAATCAATAACAATTTTTGATGTAAAAACAGTAGTTGAAAATGACTATAATCAATAAAATTTTTTTTTATCGAATATAATTATATAATTGACAGTCATTGGTCAATGACTATCGAATATACTTGATAAAAAAATAAAAAAAAATACAAAATTTAGTAAAATTCAGAATTATATTTATAATTTTTATGTTAATTAAATTATATAAAAAAATAATAAAACCAAATTCAACACAATTATCAAACCTCCCAACAATATATTTATAAAATAATTTTAAGAGTAATATAATATAAGAAATAGTAGATAAATATAAATAAAACTAAAATAAGAATTCTAACCTTAATTAGTTTTTAATTCTAACCTTAATTAGTTTTTAATCAATATCTTGTCAAAAATAAGAAAAAAAATTGCATTGATATACATTATGACTTTATTAAAAGAAAAAATAAAAGTATAATCAAATTTTAAAAAAAAATTACCTCATAATTATTGTATTAAAATCTGCACATACAATGTTCATTAAAATTGAAAAAACTCTCTATTTCATCTCAAAATTAACAGCACCTTCTGGACAACCCTTTTTCGAAGAACTACTTGCTTCATTTATCTTTGTGATAAAGACGTATTGAGCATCGACGTAATTGTGTTGTAATCATCCGAACCCATCAAGGGAGAATGTCACTTTCCTTTTTTTTCTTTCGTTTTTTTACATGAGAAATTAGAAGTAGCGGTTGAGATTCTTTGAATCCAGCATCAAACGCGTTTTTCATTGATTTTTTTTTTGAACAATAAAACAATTTTTTTTTATAAAAAAAGTTGAGATTAAAACACAAGTCTTGAAAGGACTAAGCACGTCCTGTAAGAAAAGAGTACGCCCCGAAGTGCTGGACGTTCTTCATTGATTGTTTATCTCCATTTCTGTCGGTAATTACTGTTGTCGTTTTTTCATAATTTAAGTTGCCTACTGACTTCGTTTTTGTTTTTATTATTTATTGACTTGGTCAGAATGTCGGGCAGGGGAGTGGACGGTGGGTAAAACCTTCAAATTCATTTAAAAAAATATTAATAGGAATATATTTATTTAAAAAAAATAAAAATAAATTATTTTTTAAAATTATAAATCAATAT